CCCAGTGAAATAGGCCTCTCGTGGAGCCTTTGCAGAGTATATGGCCTTAGGTAGAATCCTGACTCCCATCCAGAATCTTATGAGGTGAGACATTCCCATTAGAAAGGACAAGCAGACCAGCCTGGAACAGCTAGAGCAACAGCAGATACAACTTCAAAGAAAGATCATCAGGAAAAAAACAAAACAAAAATGTCAGCATGACTGGCTACCACAAAAATAAGCAAGTTGTTTGTCAGAAGTGGTCAGGGCAAGCAATCAAGTTCCTTCAGGACAAACTCCCCCCTAAGACTGAAACTCAAAGGGAACCATGAGCAGGCATGTAAGCTTGCTGGCAACCACACTGGTGAGTGGAAGAGGGGGAAAGGCAGCAATGAAGAAATGGACTCAGTTCAACCACAATCCATTGACTCTCATCCTGGAGATGAGAGAGAGAACAGGAAGGGCTGATTGGTCCAAAGTGTGGTGAGACCTAGGGACACTTGAGCCCATGGATAAGGACATAGCCACAGAGGGCTAGAGCTAAGAGTGAAGCATCCAGCTGATATGAAGTGAGGGGAGATGCACAAGAACACCCAAACTTGCAGACAGTATGCATTTGACCTAGCTTCGATAGCTTAACAATCCGAACTTAACTAGAGGAAGATTACAAAAATAAAAATAAAATAAAGTTTTTTGGATAAAAGAAACGTGGGTAAATTGCTACAATTTGATGAACCTGACCTATACTCATGGAGGTAGTAACTCTAAATACCAACAGACAGGAAAGGAGTCTTCATATCAAAAACCAATGCTATCCCCTCTGTACACAGGGTAGATAGGGACGGGCAACTTAGATATTGGCTACCTAAAATGAGGGGGCGATAAAGGCACGTAGTGACTAGCTTACAACATTTCAAGGGTGAGTTTAGTTTAAGAGTGTGTCGGGGAAGAAAGAGTCCCCACTGAATAGTTGTTATCTTGTCTAGATAGGTCTGGTTAAAAGAGATGGGGATAAGATTCTTATAATTCATCAGTGAGAAATTCTTATCATGACTAATTGTGACTGTCACAATTGTAAAAAAATATAAAGAAACAAAGGACCCTAGGACCACCAAGGGAGAACCTAGGACCACAGCACAAGCAGATTGCGGGACCTTATCCAGAGAAGCAGCAATACCAGAGATGGAGGCAGAGATGGGGACATGGATAGAGGGAGCAGCTGAGGACTCTAGATTCATGGGAAGAGAGGGACTAAGAGATGGTGGCCATAAGGCAGACTTGCAGAATGCGCCCTTGGTGGGATACATTATTATATATGCTGAGTGCTTTTTGTTTTGTTTTTTTAAAAGAGCTAAAGTGAATAGAGAGAAATACTGTTACTGATGGTACATGGAGGGGAATGTAATCACGTGATGAAACAAGATGCATGATTTGTTGAATGTAAAACGGATGATCTGCCCTGTAAACTTTCACTCAATCCACAGTAAAAATTTAAGGGGAAAAAAAACACAACACAATTAAGAACACTGAATTTACAATGTTTTGCTTCTGTTGTTTTTTGGTGAATTGTTTTATTCAAGGGGAAAATAAAATAGAAAAGTAGCATAATACAAAAATACTGGCCTTTCTTGCAGTATGAAATAACAATGAAAAAAATAGGTCAACTTTGTTAGAAATAAATTCATTAAAACTTAAATATACTGTTTGTTGCTGTTAAGTGTCATCGAGTAGATCCTGACTCACAGTGACCCAGTATAAGGTTTCTGAGTAACAGCTGGTGGATTTGAACCACTGAACTTGTAGTTAGCAGTCTACTGCTTATCCTACAGCAAGCACCATACCTGGACCCCAATATGCTGTATAGAAAAACTAAAGCTGACCAGTTGTCACTGAATCAATTCTGAATCAAACCATTTGTTAGAGTACAGCTGCTCCACAGAGTTTTCAAGGCTGTGATCTTTCAGAAGCAGAGTTTGTGTTCTGTCTTTTGAGGCTCTAAATGGGTTTGAGATACCAACCTTGAGTACTACCCAGAGACCTATTTAGAATATGTAGTTTATAAGAGTTTCTAAGTAGGTAAATGGTAAAATCCATGCCAGAAGTATACTAAATATGATTATATCCATTAAATTATTAAATTCATAATGTAACTAACTCAATGATATTATTATAGTGTTCATTTTGTAAATAAGAATACTGAGATAAAAACAGGCACCAGTTACGAAGTAGCAAAGCCAGGATTCAAAACTCAAAATTCTCTCTCCTTAACTACTTAAGTACTTGTTACAAGGAAAGATAGTTTTTACTAGGAGAAACAAAAAGAGTGGAAAAATTCAACCTAATACTAGTTATAAAACACAAATTAAAACAACATAGAGCTATATTATACTTATTTGAAAAACCAAAGAAAAATGAAAAAACTCAACATTGATGATTCTTCAGAGATATATTATGTATGGGAGCTCTGGCAGCATAGTGGTTATGAATCGGGCTGTGACCTCAAGGTCAGCAGTTCGAAACTACCAGCCGTTCCGCGGGAGTAAGATGAGGCTTTCTGTTCCCGTAAAGATTTACAGCCTAGGAAACCCTGTACAGGGTCGCTATGAGTCGGAACTGACTCCATGGCACATAACAACAACAACAACTACCCAATAAAATTGTGTTGATTTTTTTTTAGAAAGCAATTTAGATACACATAACAAGTCTTGGAGTTCTGGTTTCATACTGTAGGATAAGCACTGGTGTGCTAGCCTTAAGGTCAGCCATTCAAACTCACCAGCTGTTCTTCAGAAACCCTATACAGTGTTACTACGAGTCAACACAAATTCAATAGCACTTAGCAACAATAACCAAGAGTCTAAAAACCAGTTACTATTCCTGATCTAATAATTTTATACCGAATATTAATTTAACAATATTCAAAAGTAGGGGGGAAGCTGTGAAAAAGAGAATGGCATTATTAATGTAGGAAAAAAGGGGAACAAGGTAAAGGTACTACTGAAAAATAAAACTGCAAACTAAATTATCAGAAACAGTTGTTAAGTGCCATCGAGTCAGTTCCAATTAACAGCAACCCTGTATAGGTTTTCCAAGGCTGTAAATCTTTTCAGGAGCAGAAAGTCTAATCTTTCTCCTACAGGGCGGCTAGTGGGCTAGAACCATGGACTTTGTGGTTTTCTATCCTGTGCATATCCTACATAGCCACCACGCTCCTGACAGAAACTGGTTGTAGTAATTATATGCCACGGAGTTTGGTCTGACTCATAGTGACTTTGGAAAGGGTTTCAGAGGCTATAAATCTTTAAGGGAACAGAAAGCCTCATCTTTCTCATGCGGAGACTCTGGCAGTTTCAAACTGCTGACCATGAGATAGCTAGCCTGACTCGTAACCACTACATTCCCAGAGCTCCTTAGATAGAAACTAGATATAGTATTATAAAAGAGTGTGTCAACAAGTTCAGGGAAAAAATCCCATTATCTTTTAATTCCGGTTTTCCACAAACTTTTTCAAATCTTCTTATATAGTTAGCAAAAATGATTAACTATGAGAACTATGTTGACATATATAAAGTACAAATGAAATGATAGTAAGTGAAAAGAGAATACATGCATACATGATTATACTTAATGTTAAAATATCAGTATTTAGAATCAGATGTCAATCTGATTAGTTGTGCCTACTTTGTAGATGAAAGAGTCATAGGTATTTCTCTGAAAAAAATTCAATCTTTCTCATTGCTATATCTCTGGAAGTATATTAAAACCATTAATAGATCAGATTTATTGCTCTTCTAAGATTTTATATTATTCTCAGAACTTATGCTGATTTGAGATTTCTGGTGATCAGATTTCACTATTATAAATGTGTACATATGAAGTTAGTGAGTGAGAAAGAAAAAGACATTTTGTAGATTTAACAAGCTAAATGGTTGTATCCATATATAGTACCCATTTAAGAATGTAAAAGGAGAAAACATGAAGAAATAGTTAGACTGTTAGCTTACCTGCTTTAGAGTTGCTATGAAACAAGTTATATATTCTACTGTGACTGGGTCCTCCACTGTAAGCTTATGACTCTGGCACTCCACACGGGCTCTGTTTATTACTACTCTAGCATCCGCAGTTAGTCCTA